TGTAATTATATTTTAATTTGAAATTTTATTCAGATAATTATAGATTCACATGAAATTATATGCAATAATACAGAGAATTCACACACCTGTCTTCCCCCGATAACATTTTACTATGTGGTACTGTAATATCACACCCAGGATATTCACATGGATACAATCCAAAAATCTTAAGTACATTATCTTGTACTCCTTTGTACAGGTATGTGTAGAGTTCTGTGTATTAAGTTCTATACAGTTCAGTCACTTGTTTAGTTTCATATATCTACCAAAATATTAAATAATGCAAACATCATGAAGCTCCCACTTGTTGACCTTTTATAACCACGCCCACTGGCTTCCAGAGCTTCTCTTATATTTCATTAGTAATGGCTGGAATCCATTTCTAACAACTCCTATTCCATTAATAATGCCTGGAATCCATTACTTTTTCCTCCATTTCTTATGCGTTGGCATTTGAAAAGTGATTTATGAGTGGAATCGTATTTTATGTGACCTTCAGTTTGGAATTGCTTTTTTCACTCAGCATAATTCCCTGGCAATTTATCTAGGTTGATGTGTGTGTCAAATTTGTTAATTTTTATTATATAGTAGTAGTCCTTGATGTAATTATATCAGTTTGTTTAACCACTCATCTGTTGGAGGATATCTGGTTGCTTCAGTTTTTGCTATTATAACTAAGGGTGCTATGAAGATTCATGTACGTTTTGCATCAAAATTCACTTTCATTTCCCTGGAATGATTTCCCAAAAGTACAATCACTGTGTCATATGGTAATTGCAAAGGTAATTGCAAAGAATTGTGTGAAACTGATGAATATTTTCCAGAGTGGCTGTGTGTCATTGTATAGTCCCTTAAGCTTTGTGAATGATTGAATTTCCCAATATCTCCATCAGTATTTGGTGTTACCATTTTTTATTTATTTGTTTTTTTAATGTGATATTTTGGATAGGTGGGTAGTGACATTTCATTTGATAATTCAAATGCTAGTAGTCTTTCCCTGACAGCTAATAGTGTTTGACATCTTCTCATATGCTATGTGTCTGACTTACTGTTTTAAATTTTCCCACTGACTCCTATTAACTCATATTATTTATCAAATAATAAAACATTATAACTTTGAGTTCTCTTGATTGAGAATGTTAGTAAATGCCTAATAATAGAAAGATCTCAAATTCTAATGAAGCTTTCAAAGGTCTTTAACATCTGTTCCTAACAAATGTTTTCAGTTTTATTGATTCAAATATGTACTTAACTTGAAAAAAGTCTAAAGAATACCCATATAATATGTGTTTACAGCTACTGGTATAAGAAACAATATGATATAAAAATGCAATCCCTTAACATATACTATCTGAAAGTTTCCAGGGATCATGAAAATATTTAATGATTGAATAGGAGAAACACTGCTTTTTAAAGATTATTAATTTTCCTAATTGCTTCAAATGGCTTTTCAGTGTTCTCAAAATATCTCCCAGTTATTCTTCCAAAATTTTATCGTGAACCCACTAATTTTTAAAAAAGACTTTTTAAATTTTTAATAAAGAAATTTTAATAAGAAAATGGAAAACATGAGTGACTAAATGTTCATATCATTAAAGATTATAATTTTAAGAATGATTAGCCATGGTTCATACTAGGCCTAAATATTTTTTTCTACCACTAAAGAATAAGCAACTTTGGGGGGCTGAGATTGAGAAGTTCACACTTTCAGGCCAGCTTGGGTAAATATTTCATGAGTATTCCATTTCCAAAATAAGCACAGTATAGTGGAATGGAGATGTGGTTCAAGTGATAGATAGAGCACCTGCTTCACAAGTGCCAAGCCCTCAGTTCAAACCCCAGTCCCACCAAAAAAAGTAAAGAAGGAAAAAAAATGTCTGAGACAGTTATCAAATTAGCACTTTAAACCAGAAACATTGGTCAGAGTAAGATTAGAAGGACTTTTCAATGGTAGTGTTCTTCTATAGTGCTATCTATGGAGTCCAATTAATTTTTAATCAGGCAAACATCACCGTAATACTTCTGAATATTTGATGAGTACATAGAAGAGGAAGGAATACTTAAAGCATTACAAACCATACATATTTGAAACAAATAAGTGAGCATTGGATGAAAAGAAGTGATGCATGAGAAAAATTAAGGAAATGTGAAAGTATTTGGTAATTAATGGGCAAGCAGAGGTTAAAAAAGATTCAGTGATAGTTAAAATAAATAAGAGAAAAAAATTTCATTTATGGCATGTTTAGTTGTTGATCTATTTTTCTTAATGTTCTTCGGGGTGGATGTGGTACAGGGTCAATTTTCAAAATGTTTGTTTTCATTTTGCAATAAAATCCAAATAAAAGGGAAATAATCTGTTATAAAAAAACAGTAGAATGATGCTTTGAAGGGAAATAAATATTGGAGATAGAAATATTTGATCCTTCTGACATTTGTTAACTGATGTAAGCTAAACAGAATCTGTTACAGGGAGAGGGAACAAATGGGAGTAAGAAAGAGAGACGAGAAGTGAATAAGTGAGGAGGATTGGAGTATTCATCAAGTTCACTCACAAGATATGGAAAAGAATGTAGAAAATCAAACATAGGAAACAGTCCTTTGGAGAGGGGAACAAAGAAAACAGACTGCTTCATACCACAGGCAACAAGAAGAGTACAATTTTTGAGATATATGTTCCAATGGTCAAATTCATTCTTACAATGCTGTGTAATATGAATGAAGTACTCATTGCATCTAGTAAATATCATGAATACAACTCAAAGGAACAAGAAAAGTTGCCAAAGTTCTGACTTTCAGAAGACGCAGCTGGTTCCATATAACCCAGTCAAGATGCTGACAAATAGAAAATAGTAAAAAGGGTAAACAAAGCAGGAAATAATAAATAGAAAAAATATATCTACTCTGTAAGGCTGTCAGTAGGTAAAACATTATGTTAAGTGATTTATGTTTAGGCTCCCTAATTTTGACAGAAAAATAATGATCCAGAGAAATTATTTCTTTTGAGGAAATGAGATTAAATAATTTTTTACCCATATGTTTACTAAATGTAGGACTTTTTCAAATTCAGATTGAACACCAGTAAGTTCTGGTATTAAAATGTATCTTACCAAAGTATATATCCTTTCAAGGTTGTAAGTAGCAAAGTAACCTACAGAGGAACAAAAAAAAAATCCCTCTTACAGGGATTCGAAGGAGTGAGATCTTGGAAGAGAGAGGAGGGACTTCAACAGTCGAGTTAGGTAAAGCAGAAGGTTACCAGTTTTGGTAGATCAGACTCCTACTTGACCAATCTCTTTTATCTATAAAGTGAGGTGTTTCTACAGTGTGGGAACTAGGAATGGATTAATATAGTGAGAAAATAAGAAACACTCATTACTTGGATGAATATGTTCTGAAATTAATAAGAGAATCAAAGACATTTAAGCAGAAGTTGCAACCTACTCATAGTAATACTGAACTTACATAATATTGAATCAGTTATGCAGGATTCTTTAGAAACAATGTCCCTTGAGAAAGAGATAAAGAACAAATAAAGAGATACACACAGAGAGAAAAAGAAAAAGAGAGAGAAATAGACAGAGAGGGAAGAAAAACAATGGTACAAGTAATCTGCTATTAGAGATAAATGCAGTAAATCTTGGATGATATTACTGGTGATATTGGTATAGTTTTTCCCTTATCCCATTTATACAGCACACCAGAGACCAACTCTTTATGACAGATTTCAGCATCAGTAAATAGGAGAAACCAGTGTAAAAAGTCATCAAATTGTAATTATTATCATTTCCCATTCACATAAAAAGACACGGTAAAAACAAAACATAGGCATACTGTAAATAATCGTTTTCTTGAAACAAATCAATAGTATTTGATTCTGATGGTGGGTCTGAAGTGGTTGATATTTAGATCAGGGCAGGAAAGTGGTCTAAGAGTGAGTTGATTCTGGGCAGAAAGATTCAAGGACAAGGGAATAGAAAGGGAAATGTAAAATCCAAAACTGTTGACAGACCAAGATCTGGTAAGTGATGGTATAAAACATCACGTAGGAAGCACGTTTATTAGTTTTGATGACATAAAATTTGATATCATGGAGGTAAAGTAAGTAGTACTTACCAAAATGACTACATACTTAAACAAGAAGCTTGCTAGAGATCCTATTGAGACATTTTTGAGAATCTTAGTAAAATTTATTTTGCTTTTTCTGTTCCTTACATAGGTTTATTTATCTACACGAAAGAAAAGTTTTTTTGCTTATTTAGGCATAACTACCTAATCATGTTCATATTTCTCAAATTATAGCCATTGTATTTTAAAATATGAAATGTTTTATCTAAATTCATTCATTTAAGAAGTATTGTGAGTATAATCATATGCAGGCTTCTCAAAGTTTGAAATGTATGTTTTGATAATTTTCAAAGTGATCTTTCTTACAAAATATACTTACTGATTATATTCTACTTGGAATTATGGGGGGTTAGTTATGCTCAAAAGAGTGGTATTGCACTTAACTTCAGTGTCAGAGTCACATTATTTTGGACATTATGTCTATGATTTAAAAAAATCCTTTCAGAGTTAATCAGATTCTTTCCTAGAGACCAGCAGCATCCAAGCTCTAAAAATGTCACATCTCGTATATTTAACACCTTCCTTGTTGATTAAGGTGTTTGAAGTCAATGAGAATGTTCTGTTTTGTCTCTCACACCTTAGATGTATCCTAGATGAATGCTATGCAAACAGTATGCATACATTTTTTATGAAGACAATAAAATAATCAGTGACTTAGTGATGCTTTCGAATTTCTATTTGGAGAGCAAATATTTTCTCCTAAAGATGCCTTTTCAATTACATACTTTTGAGAAGTGATATTGTAGGTAAACCTTAGCCAAATGTGGGTGAATTGCTTAAATCATGAATTGATTACGAACTGTCAAGCAGCTTTTATTTTGAAGGCATATGATCACTTTAACCACAGTTCCATTTTCTGTGTCTCTTATCAGCAGTTGCAGCATCTAGCGATCAAAGCCAGATTCCTATAATTGCTGTGTCGGTGACAGTGGGAGTCATTTTGTTGGCAGTAGTTATTGGCTTCCTCCTCAGTGGAAGGTAAGAAAGGAAGCTGTGATTCTGAGTTTCTACAACTGATCTCTTCCTTACCTTGATCTGTCCATTTGGCTGTTAAGCACATCCCAAAACAAATCAGGAAAGCAATGTTTCAGCAGATAACTTCAATGTATGAAATACTTCTTAAGTTTTATGCTGTCATGCTAGTACTAATCTTTACACACACAATTTCTCTTTTAGATCTCTTTTATGTCAACATGTTCCTGTTCATTCTGTTACTACTATACATGTATTTCTTTTTTGATATAGCTTATTTCTAATTCCGAAAATTTTCCCTATCAAAAATGTGTATCATTGCCTGCTTCAATTTTAGTTACTACTTGGGAAAACCTTTGTGTCTCTTGGACTTTTGATAACTAGGACTAATAATTCTACAAAGCATACATTCTGGCAAATAATCATTATGGAAAATATGCAAACCTTTTCAATGACTGCTTTTATTTTCAGCTTCTGAATGATTTCAATAAGAATACACCAATTATGGTACATACTGAAAGAAAGTATTTTGTTCAATACTCTATCAACACTGATTTGATTATATGTACTACATATCTATATTTTTCATTTTGAAAATAAAAGATAGAGTCCCAATAAGAAGTTTTATAGAGGTGTTTTCAGATATTGAGCTGAACATAATCGATCTTCCTAAAAAATTATAAATAAATAAATACTATTCCTTATTCCTATAACAAATAAAATTTTGTATTTCCATATTTTTATCCAGGGATATTCAGTAATGAGAGCTATTCATTTGAAATTTTTAGTGATGGTAGACCATTATAGAAAACTTAGTGAAAGTCTTCATGGAAGATTGATAAAAATGAAAATGTACTGTAGGGTCCCCATCAAAATTAGGAAGTCAATTTATTCCTATTGATTTGCTACTCTTCTACACACTTAGTATTGTCTTTTCACTCCTCATTCAACACACAAAACTGTACAGAATCAGGCACTTTTCATTATATAATACATTGTTTTCTAAAAATTTATGACTATAGTGTTAAGTTACAAGGAAACATTTTACTTTCATAAAATATTGCTATTCCCTTTGAACATTATTTCTCTTTGTATAAGAAAATCTATTCCTTCTAGTTTTTGTTCATTTAAGAGTGCTTAAAGTTTCTGAAGAATGTATGTTATTGCAATCCATTTCTTACTTTTAATGTTAGAATAGTAGTTATGCATTATAGACTTTTTAGCTGTGAGGAAGTTTATACTCTGTTGAGGGCTATTAAGCCCAACCCAATCCAGGGTGCTTGATACCTCATGCACCACTCATCCTCTCTCTGAAGTCACTTGAGGAGAAAGCTCAACCAGCATCCCTACTTTCTGGAAGATAAGCCAATTTCACCAGTCCTATCAAAAAAAGCTTTTCAGTTGAAAGAATAAAACATTTCACCAAAAAACATCAGAGTCTTTAATTTCTATAAGCAATTTTTTTGTGTGAAATTTTTATTATTGTATGTTGTTCAAAATGCATTTTTAGATTGTACAGGACATTTTTCATATGATAGAAATGTCTTTGGCTATTGTGTTTTATTTAAAATTATTTTGTGCTTGAACTATGCACATGTACTTATCCAAAAGCTAACTTATATGATTCTTGAAAGACTTTCTATTTCATTTAAGGCATTGAACTTTGCAATTTGTGTCTGCACTCAATCTTACCCATTCTGTAGTATCTGGATTGTCCTGAATTGACTCAGTTAAGATTTGTCAAAGAGACAAACAAAAATAAATTAATGAAGAAATGTGGCCAAACTCTAACAGAAATTTGGGAATCAGTATTATAATTTTACATGTTGAATTCTATATGTTTCTCTCTCTCTTTACCAAAATAACATACACACAAATATGACACTAAATATTACCTTCTGACTTTGAACTAACTCACTTTCATTTTTTTATTTTAATATCTTGAATAAGATATTATAACCCAATATCCTAGGTAAAACATCTTCATGGAAAATAGTGTGGCTTCTCAATAATAAAATAGATAATTTTATTTTGATATATTACAAAATATTAATATTCTTTGTATATAATATTCATTGACAATTTAGATCATCATTTGGGTCCAGGAAAAAATATACCCTGAAAATCCATATGCATTGACACTATGTATTTTATTCTGACCAAAAAATACTGTTTCAAATCATGACATACTGAATCTTATAGGATTGATGTATTTCAAAGAAAGAAAATCAACATTTTTATTCTTACAAATACTTAAGGATGAAAAAAGAAATGAAATACAGAGATTGTCTGATTTTTTCATGCTTAAATTTATTATGCCTAAATCTTTTAGAATCTCCCTTCCTAGACAGAGTTTAAAATAAAAATGGGCATGTATCAATCAAAGAAAAAAGTCTCATTTAAAACATGCCAAAGTAATCATTGATTTAAAAGGTGTTGTGTAACCTATAAGGCATTTACACTCTTTTCATTACTTTCTCATTAATCTTTATATGTTTTTCCCCCCATGGGTTTGCAAACAATCAAACCTCTCATTATGAACAATATATATTGTAATATTTTAATCTTTCACTTTTCTTGCTAGTTAAACATTGGTAACTTCCTGATATGCTAATTGTGTGCTTTTTCCTGGTATATGTACTATTTTATGGATATAAATTGTTCAAGTTTTTCATCAGATTTTTATCTTCATGCTCTTGTAGGTAAACATTTGAGAAAATCTTTCACTGCTGCACATTTAGTGTAACATACAACTCAAATTAATAGGATTCATTGTTGTAGACAATATGAAGTAAAGCTTTTAATGTCTAGATGTGATTTCATCTTTGAATATTATTCTGTATGTTTTTCTTTCTATATATGACTTTATGGATTAAATAACTTTGATATGTGTTTTTGATCCCTCATAATTATATGTTCATGAATGTAATTACATCTCAAGAAAATTTCTGAGCTTTATTTTTATTTTAATCAATTCCATATGTGCACTTGGAGGTAAGACACACAACATCCTGTATTCCCAGATATGTCCACAAATGCTCTTGGGTGTAAACACAAAAAACTTTAAGTTTTTGCCAATTTTGAAAATGGGAAACAAAAAACAGAAGAGTTCCAAAGAGTTAGAAGGATTCCTTTTTTGCTTGGCCTTGGGATATGATTTTAAGGCTATCTATATATGACTTTCCTGCTATGATGTTTCTAACATGGTAAACTTAATCTGAGAAGTGGCTTAATGCTTTTAAAAAAAGGTTGTATTCTGGGCAAAAGTTTGTCCTGGTCATGTTGAAATTCTGTGCCTGGTCTTACTCTGCTAAATCCTATTTCTGTCTGTCTCCCATTAAACAACTGAAACTCAATCCATTTGAAATGTGTCATAGTTTCCTGAGGAAAAAAGTTTCAGAAACAAACATTGTATTTGGAGACTATCATATTAGAATTAACACACTGGGACCATGTCAGAAACATGGAGAAACAAGTAGTTTGATATAAAACACTGCTTTAGGAGTTTTGTTGTTGTTATTATTGCTACTTGAAAATAATACTAAGAATTGGTCATTTTTAATTATTTTCAAGTTCCCTAAAGTATAACCTCTTGTGATATATTCTTCACAATTATCCATTAAAAGAATTTATTGAGCACTTATCAATACTAAGATATGTCCTATGCATGTGAAATAATAAGACAATGTCCTCTCGTCAAATTGTTTTCACTTTTAATAGCCTGATAAGTATGCAGAATTTCATAAAGCAGAATTAAAATGGGTATAAAGACAGAAGTTTTACAACATAATTGGAATTAGTATTTTTTTTAGACTGAAAGGATGATTTGATTCATTAATTTGAGTTCTTACTGCATTCTTGGCACAATTTGTATGTTAGAAAAAACAATACTTTCAGAATAAAATTCTTTAGACTTAAAAACTTTTTGCATGCTTATGGAGACAAATAATTAGTCAGATGTTTTGAATGCAACTGTTTTATTTAGACAACTGCCAGAGGTCTGTTTATATCTGAGATTAAATCATAATAATTTTTTAAACAAGTACTTTTTAAGCATCTGATTTATTCTAAAGCCTTCAAAAGAAACTTTTTGCCTAATGCAAACACCAGGATAATGATATTGGCAATAATAAATATAACGTCATCTATATATGACCTACTACCAGGTACCATTTTAAGGATTTTACTTGTAATATTTCACAATGACAACCTACTTCAGTACTAATTCTAGGTCTAATTTATAGTTGACAAAATTATCTTCTTCATGTTCTTTGAATTTTGTAAGAATGTTCCTGCCATAAGACTTTTTCAGTACTCTTCCTTTTGCCTAACTCTCCTTTACCCCAGAGAACTTCATAGATTCCTCCTTATTTCTTCCAAATCTTTGCTCAATCTAATTCTCTCAATTGCACAGCAGTTGATTCCTTCTTCTGCACACCACAGTTATTTTTCTAAACATGTGTCTTTTACTGACTTTTGGTCCATCTCCTAAACTAGAAGGCACAGGATTATAGGCAGGGGATTTTTGTTTCTGCTTTGGTTCCCACCTTTTACACCCTGAAAAAATGTACAGACCATACAGAGAGATAGTGAAGACTGCACTTGAATCCCACTCTGACTTTAGGGCTTTGTTTGAATCCTATCTGATTTGAAGTCATTTACATTGTGAATTCTTGTGTGTGAAATCTCTGAATCACTATTGTTAAAAATGACATTAACATTTAAAAACTTTTAAAGAATGAATCTTAGAATTGTATCTTAGTGGAGTCTCCCTTGCCCCTCACTGGAAAATTATACTTTAAAAATCATATTTATTCTAAAATCACAAACATCAAACATCATCAATTTCATGATTATTCTTATTTTGTGAAAATGAGTTAATTTCACTCTGTGTATCTTAAAACTTTTCCCTGATAAATACATGCTCATCTTGAACACAAAGATCATAGTGTAAGGTTCAGTAAAAATTTAATGACAGTATGAATAGAGCAGTGAAGCAGGGATTG